AGGATTTTAGGATGTGTTCTGACACCCAAAAAGTTTGGGTGTCATTTTTAGCACCATTTCTTCAATGAAGCTATTTTCATTCTGCTTTTGAAAGATTCATACCATAGATTCTATGGAGTGACAGTCTCAAACCTAAGCTGGCCGTGCTCACTGCTGTGCCGCTTTATCGCCAACACAACGAAATATAGCACTGATAAATCGGTTTAATTACTCTGTCCAAGACAAAAAGGCAGCCATAATTACCATGGGAAGAAATTATTTAAAGATGCTTTCATTCTTCATCGTGGCGAACAATTCACCAGGCTCCCCCTACCTACTGACACAATGTCCACTTTGTTTGTATAAACACGAGCACTGTATAAAATTAATGGACAACCAGTTCATTCCTAGGTACAATGAATCATGGAAAAACAAAGTGCTTTGGCTGTGTATATTTTCATCCTGCTTTAGTGACCTTTCTTTGAAAGGCTTGGGGAAGTGGTGACATCTCAGAAAACATCTGTAAAGAACAGCCATCCAAAATGCTTGCCAGATACAAGCGGATTTCACCCATTATTTATTTGCAGGGAGGATGTTTCTGTGGGGCAGAAACTCTTCATCTTTAGACTCCAATCTCAGCAACATTAGGGGCACAACCCTCCTCTAGACATGATTTTCCATTACAGCTTTGCTCCTTGTTGTTTGTTTTTCATGCTAGGTGGATCATTTCTGAGGTTAGGGCTTTTGGGCACTCACAGAACATTTTCCATTGGTACCTTTGTAGCTTTTCCTAAGACAAGGACGGTGTTCTGGCCAGTAGTATTGGGAAGGGGAGGCTCAAGACCATTCTTTGGACCTTTAGAGGAAGGAGAATTGTAATGAAGAATATCGAGACTGTTTTATTTAAGCACCCCCTCTCCCCCAAGCAAACAGCACAGTATTCGATGATTAAATCGTCGATTTAATCGTTGGTTGGCAATGTTGACTCTTGGGAGCTCCTCTCTCCAATCTCTGTTTCGCTGTCCACACTAAATGATAATAGTAACACTTACTCTGAACTAAATCTTAACCTTCTTTCATCCTCAAAGAAGACTCAGCTAGATAGGATAAGCATGAAAGAAAAGGGAGAAATGAGAGACCGTTTTTAATCTGAATTGCTTGGATCCTTCCCACCTACAGGTGAACAGGGATATTGTGTCGGGTCTGAAATATGTTCAGCATACCTACCGGACTGGGGTGAAAGGTAAGGGACCCACACTTCACACTGTCCCAAACTCTGTCCCCCACTGATACTTAAACTTCTTCTTTTTAACAATTTTAGTCACAGACTCATTTAAGAACCTGACAAAAAGCTTTGGATTCTCCCCCTAGGAAACAGCACACATATACTTCTGTCTAGACACTAATGGCAAGTCCTACATTCAGAGATCTAGTTTAGACTGGGTCAACCACTAACCTTTAGCCTTAGGCCTCTGTGATTTAATATTCACAAAGGGGAAGAGTAACCAAGATAAATTTGGATAAAAATGGAGTCTATTAAAAAAACTCTCAAAAGTTAAAAAAAAAAAAGTAGTCCAGAGGTATAAACCTAAGGGTCAGCAAAACCCAAGACTGGAAGTTTCTATGGTTCTATACAGTGGTGTGTGTGTTTTTTGGGAATAAGAGTTGGAAGTAGCATGTGGGCAGGTGTGGAGTGAGGATGGGGGAACAAGGAGCTTTTAATTTTTTTAATTTTTAATTTTTTTAAATTTTTAAATTTTTAAAACATGAAACAGAATTCTTTCTAGAATTAAGAAGAGCTATGACAGAGACATAACACAGCATTATCTGGTCTTCAGTTGCCCTTGACAAGTTGTACCTAAACTGTATGTGCCTTGGGGAACTGCCTTCAGTTTCCTTCTGACGCTACGGGCAGGGTGAAATGAAACTTGGAAAGGTGATGGAAGTACTGATACATTCCCTTTGACCTTGAGGGCTCTCTTCTTCCAGGGGTGGGAAACAGTAAGGCATAGGTCAGTTCCCCCAAATTAATAAACAAAGGGTTTGAGGGGATATTGTTGGACAAATCTGCATGACTTGGGCAACCACTCAATTACTCAAATCCCACAGAAGGTTGTTGACCTGTAAGATCCTAACCTGTCTTTCCAGGACCAAGTCTCATTGAAAAAACAGTTCAGTTTCCTGTTTTCCTTTGGGTATAGAGATTATGTTGCCTCACTTAGTCAAGAGGATAATGATATGTCTGTAGCTGTTCCTCCAAACTTATTCACAATATTTAACAGCCAACTACACATTGCCTGCCTGTCTCTCCTCCTGCCTACCTTTAGTTATACTTTCTAATGCCCTCTGTTTCTTAATATATGTCCCAGTTATTCACCTATTAATAACTTTGGTTGGTTATTTTCAACATTTGTCCCAGTTTTTCACCTTTTTTTAAACCAAATTATCGATTTTCCCTTTCTATGCAATTCTTCCACCCATGATTTCTGTTCATTCTGATCACCAGCTGTTACCTCACCTCCCCAATGGATATGTTCATAGAATGATAGTTTATAGATAGGAAGTCCTTAACGTTCATTATATAGAGAAAGAAACAGAGGCCCAGAAATGTCATATTGATGTAAGTGGTTGCAGAGATGAGACCAGAACTCAGGTCTCAATTAATGAGGGATTTTTTAATAGGATTTTTATTTATTTAACAGAGAGAGAGAGGAAACAAAAGCAGGGGGAGTGGGAGAGAGAGAAGTAGACTTCCTGCTGAGCTGGGAGCCCAACATGGACCTGGATCCCAGAACCCTGGGATCATGACCTGAGCGAAAGACAAAAGCCTAACGACTGAGCCACCCAGGTGCTCATAATGAGGAATTTTTTAATGGTATAACCTGCTATAGCTCCATAAAAGAAGAGTCTTGATCCCCATAGACTTAAGGTGCTAATTTCCCAACTTTCCTGATAGCAACAGCTGTGAGGCTTCCTAAAAGCACTGATTCTTGGAGCACCTGTTGGCCCAGTTGGTGAAGCTCCTGCTTTTAGCTCACGTCATGATCCCTGGGGTCTTGGGATGGAGCCCCTGTATTGGGCTCCCTGCTCAGTGAGGAGTCTGCATCTCCCTCTCCCCCTGACCCTCCCATTGCTTGTGCTCTTTCTTGCTCACACTCTTTCTCTCTCAAATAAATAAATAAAATCATAAATAAATAAGTAACAAAATAAAATAAAAACACTGATTCTTGACACTGCCCATAGCAGATTACTGATCCATAGTTTCTGAGAGCGAAACTGTATTATTAAAAGGCACGCCAATAAAATACACACACACATGTGTGTGTGTATATATATACATACATATATATGTATATGTATGTATATATATATATATATCTTTTAAAGCTGAAAAAAAAAAAAAGATGCCCAGGTAAATCTGTTGTTTAGCCTGGTCTGGAAACTATGGCTTTTGGTTTTGGTCACTGCAGGCTGTGCTCCAAATTTTCCAGTTTTCTGTGTTTGCTTTTCCTCTGTCAGACGCTTACCCTAATGAACTTGTCTTTCTTCCTAGTGGACAAAGCAACATTTATGGTTGGCAGCTACGGGCCTCGGCCAGAGGAGTATGAGTTCCTGACTCCAACTGAGGAGGCTCCCAAGGGCATGCTGGCCCGAGGCACTTACCACAATAAGTCCTTCTTCACCGACGATGACAAGCACGACCACCTCACCTGGGAGTGGAACCTGTCCATTAAGAAGGAGTGGACAGAATGAGCACATCCACCCATCCGTTTCCCTACCTCGCCATCCAGAAGTACCCTCTCAGTCACGTTCACCACCCTGGCCCTCCTCCCTGTTCATAGCTGGATCCCTTCCCCAATACGCCCCACATTCTATTACCAACAGATCTTATCCTGCAATGTCTCTCAAAGTGTTCCCTAGCACAAGAAGCTTAAAACCCAGGCTTTAACCCCACCCATTCCTTCTGGGCCCCCATTAAGCCAGTTCTTCAAAATTCTTCATTTCAATACCTAGTCATTTAATATTTCCTTCTACGTTTCCCATGGGAGCAGCTAGAGGCCAGGAAATAGGCAAATCATCATTAACAGTCCTTTTGCCTTGGGTTACAGTAGCTCATTCCCACCCCTGGATTCTTCTGTGGTCGCTGCTGGCTCAATGAAGGTCCCTAATCACGTTCCCCACCAGTGGAGGTTCTTCTTTTCTGGGAGACTGTAAACAGCACAAGAGAGTAAATAAAACAATTATATGATCTGACTGAGACCCTCATTTCCCTGCTTTCTTCCTTCGAACAAATATGATAACTAAATTGTTTACCTTTGTGAGTTTCCTCAGAGGGCATGTGGGCTGGACACAGGAGAAAAGGTATTTACATCACTGGAAACAGTTTGGTCTCCCTGTTCCAGTGCGATGAGCAGCGGATATTCAGAATATGAGTAGTAGAAATCTTGAGTTATTTCACCTTGTAATAGTTCAACATGGAACTTTCTCCCGAGCTTGAGACCTCTGTAACCCAAGGCCTATGGAAATCCCATCTTGGATATCCAAGGGCACCTGTGGTCCAAATCAGACACCACCTCTTTCCTGCTTATGATTTTTCAGCGTAATCCCATCACCTAAAGAATAAAGATCCTATACTTATTATATAATGCCCCTTACAATCTGGCCTAAATTCAATTACTAATAATTCTCTCACACATTACGTTTTCATCTCCGTGTTTGGCTCTTTACACAAAACTCTCAGTCCACCTTTGTTGTCTGACAACAGCCTATTTATATGCTTACACATCCGCTGTAGGAAGAAAACCTTCACTAAACCCCACCACTGTCCTAAATGCCCTTAAGTCTGTATTCTCATAGTATCCTATGGGTTTCTCAATTTTTCAGTCACGTCTTGTTTTATATTTAAATGATCCACTTGTCCATCTCTCACACTAACAGTCTAAGCTGGGAAAGGCTGGATTGGATCATACTTACCTTTGTATCTCAATGCCTGTAAACATTTCCTTTTTTTTTTTAAATCCATATGAACAGACTCCACTTTCTTCTGGTTGGTTATGTTCTGAGGTCCTGTCACAGAACTTGGTTTTTTATCTCAAAAGTTGAAGGTTCCCATAGAGCCAGCTGCACAGTTCCCAGAACACTAACAACACCACAGCCAATTACCAGGAGTGGGCTGCCCTGAGCTGGTCTCCCAAAAGACAAAGTCCAGGGCTTGGAGAAGGAGCAGGTAAAGAACAATGGAAGCTGACCAACCCAGACTCCTATTTCTATTATTTCTTTTCACATGGCGACTGTCCCCAGAAGTTGCTGCAGAAGTTCAGGAATCATCAGGTAAAAGAAAAAGCACTTGGGTGACCATATGGTGAAAATGTTGTTAGGGGAAGGGAAGGGAACATGGGAGTGCCCTGGGTACTTTTGCTCCAAACAAAGAACATTTCTATGAAATGGAAAATGGATAAAGACCTGTGTTGCCCAGTGGAGAAAAAAGAAATCTAGAGTTGTCCTTCAGAGAGAAACCATAAGGTGGGGTCACCCTCCATATGTTAGTAAAACAATAAGGCTTTGGGATAATGGTAGTGTCCCTAGAAACCGTCATCTCTTTGGCCTTGGTATAGAGAGAAAAAGTAGAGATGCCCTCAGCATTTAGAACTCCTCCTCTCCCACAACTTCTGCTTCTCTCTCTCTTCCCTCTATAGATGGTTCTGCTGCTTCTCAGAAACCCGTGTCACTCACAGATGTCCCAGCAACCATGGAATTCATTGCTGCTGCTGAGGTGGCCATCATTGGTTTCTTCCAGGTTTGTCCAGATACCCTGTTTCTGTTCCCATAAAGAACCAGGAGCTTCCTGGCCCAGAGCAGCCATAACAGTCACCTGCTGGCCAAATGATCCTGCACTAGAAGTCAAGGGGTACAGAGTCTGTACCTCTCAATCGAGACCTCTCAATTTCAAGACATTCCCCGCCTCTGAATTATGTCTTTCTCATACTTGCTTCAGGAGTTCTGAGGCTCCTCATTATAGGAGTGCTCTGAATCTTAAATCCTGTCTCGGGACTGCTGAGGCAGGAATCAGAGTAAATCCAGCTTCTATCATCAGGCTACACAGCAGCCAATGGTTAATCTCTGTCTAAAACCTTACCAAATAGGGAGTCCCTCATTCTTCTATCTCTCCGTTTGTTCTGAAATGTTGAGAAAGGATGACCTTTTGAATATTGAAGGCGTTAGCCGCCATCTTCCAGATTGGCTGCCTGGCTAATGAAAGCAGCCATACATGAAAGGGCATCACTCCGGTATTTTTATCTTGCTTTGAAGGTAACATCTGGTTATTCTCATTGATCAAGCCCCTGCTCTTATTGCAGACCTTCTTATCCATTTCCATTAATTAGTTACAACGCGCCATCACCCTGGCAATTCTGGGTACATGGCCAGAAATGGCTGCAATGACATGCAGGTGGGGAGGAAGGCGGGGAGCCCATTTCTTAGCAATGAGAAATTGGAGCTGGAGACCGCAACAGCCACCCTCGGGAAGGCAATGAAAGTGGGAGTGGAGGAATTTGCAATAACTTAAGCAGCCACCAGATGCCGTTGGTCATTTGATCCATGAGTAATTCCATGCTAAGGAGAATTAAAAGATTAGCACTTGTTCATAGCCTCGAATGAACTCCATACACCATCTCCAAGGAGCAAGATACCAACTCCCTCTGCTTGACCCCAGAGGCAAGGCTAGTCAGTGTCTTTTCTTTTTTGCACTTCCCCTCCTTAAGGCCAGAAAGATGTCAGGAAAGGATATTCTCCCTCCTGTTCATTGCCTGGAGCTGCTCTGGGCAAAGGTCCTCTGACAGCAGGGAAAATGATGCCAGCTTGTCATGGAAGGGCTGGAATCCTTACTCAGATGTGGCTTCCCTGCTCCCTCCTGCAGGCCTTTCTAGAGTTGGAACAACACAGGAACAGTATCTTCATGGGCACTATCTCAGGCTTAATGCAGGGAAAGATGACCATTCTTCCACATCCCACACAAACCTTTGTTAATAAAACTTATAGGCTTCCATTTTAATTTCCTTTATGCTTTTTTTTCCCCCTTTTTGGCCTTTGACAGCACCTATTTCTTATTTTTGCATTTCTTCTTTCCTCCACAAATTGTTTCCAAAACTTTTGCCTCCTCGGGTGGTCAATGACAATGTAGGAAAACTCTGCAGGCCTGTATGATTTGTGAGCCCCTCTCTGCTAATAAACTACAAGCTTTATGATAAGGTCAGACAGGAGTTGCAGGCTGAGCTACAGTTTTGTAGCTACCTATTAGCCCACTCAGCCTGGGAAATTCAACAATCCCACTGTGAATTGAGCCTGCAGTCTTGGAGGTAAGTGCTGTTTCACCTGATACAAAATCAAGTCTATGATTTTTTTTTTTTTATAAGAGTGAGCACATTTATTCTCTATTTCTCTCCTCTCCAACATAATCCCTGTGGGTTGTTTTTTTTTTTTTCTTCTTGTTCTTAGGATTTAGAAATACCAGCAGTGTCCCTATTCCATAGTATGGTGCAAAACTTCCAAGACGTGTCCTTTGGAATCAGCACCGATTCTGAAGTTCTGGCCCACTACAACATCACCGGGAACACCATTTCCCTCTTTCGCATGGTAAGTTGGGTGGGCTGCTGGAGGCTTCTTCCTGTTTTTCCTTAGGTTATGGATTCATGAACTTGTGAGCCTAGAAAGGGCTCTTTGCCTTTAACACTAATGACGGTGCCAGGGACCAAGGAGTCAGGGACAACAATGACAAAAATGGCGGCTCCACTGAAGTTTCCCAAACACGTGCTGTCATGAAGTGGAAGGAGGACTAGACTGATTGTCAAGGGGTAGGATTACAACATGGTTTTGTCACTGACCAGCCAAGTGACTTGCACAAGTCACTTGACATTTTTTAGCTTCAATTCCTTCATCTGTAAAATAAAAGAGTTTGACCGTGTCACCTCTAAGGTCATCTTGAGATCCAAAATTTTATATTTTTATATCCTTGGGAGTTCACATACATTTACCAAACATGTATTGAACAACCACTGTGCCCTCTGCAAGATACTGAAAATAAAACATGTTAAATATGTTCTCTGTTCTCATAGGTCTTAAAATATAGTTGAGAATGTAAACATAGTTTACAAGTATCTACAATGCAAAGTCGTTAAAAGGATAAATGAAATGTAGGGATTCTGGCAAAAAAAAAAAATGATGAAGGAGAAAACTGAACTGGGATTTAAAGGAAAGATAAAATTTGGACAAAATAGAGGAGAATTCGTGTCCAAGGTGGGAAAAACATCAAACTTAGCAAACAGTGATCAAGCCAGTTTGACTGGATCTCAAGGTAAGTGTTTAGAGAAAATAAATATAAGAAGTTTGATTGAAACCATATTATGGAGAAATGTGAATACCAGGTTAGTGGGTTTACATTTAACTTGGTTGGCACTGTAAAGCCTTTAAAGCCTTTAGATCCAGGAGTAACATGAACAGGAATGTGTTTTAGCAAGGTGATTCTGGCAGTGATAGCTAGGATGGATTGTTAAGCAAAAACACAAGAGTAGAGAGGACTTTTGTTAGGCTGACAAAATCAACCATGTACTAAAGGTTGGAGCAGAGGGGGTCTGCAGTAGAGTGGGGACAAAAGAAAGTGAAGAAGAGGAGGACCTGGGTGGCTTAGTTGGTTAAGCTCCTGCCTTAGGCTCAGGTCATGATCTCGGGTTCCTGGGATCAAGTCCCACATCAGGCTTCCTGCTCAGTGGGAAATCAGCTTCTCCCTCCCCCTCTGTCCCTACTCCTTCCCCTCCTCCTTCTCTTCCCTTTGCTCCCTCCTCCTTCCTCTTCTTCCTCCTCCCTCCTGCTCATAAATGCACAAGCAAGCTCACATACTCTCTCTCTCTCAATTAAATAAATAATTTTTTTATTTTATTTATATTTATTTAATTTATAAAAATGAAATAAAATTAAATAAATAAATAAAATAATTTTTTAAAAATTTAAAAAAAGAAAGAAAAAAAAAAGAAGAAGAAGGCTGGTCCTTCTAATGGTTAAACATGAAATTTCTGGATAGGAGGCAAAGTTTAAAGCCAGGGTATGTAGGAATAGTGAGGGCATATACAAATATAGGGCTTTAGTTAGTTGTAAAATGTGTATTATTGGTGGAATATTAAGATAAAGATGTATAGAATCTATTGGAAATGCAAAATTGGGACAAAAGATAAAGTTATCAAGATCTCTGTACAGTCCTTTCCCTTCTAGCTTCCATCCTATATATTTCAATTCTCATCCAAATCTCTTTTAAATGTATTTTATATTCAGTGCCTCCAATTTTCTTCAAGCTCTTAAATACCCTGCTAACTGATCTATGCCCCACACTCCATTAAAACTGCTTTATTCCAGGTCAGCATGGCTTCTATATTTCCAAACCCAATGAACACTTTAAGTCTTATCTAGGTAAACGTCTCTGCCATATTTGACATTGTTGACTCTCTAACATTCTTTCTTTCCTTAACTCTTAGGAGCCTACTTCTGGTCTTCTTCTTTTCTTAGTCTCCTTGAGACCTCTGCCTCCATGTACACTGCTTCCTGACCCCAGTGCTCTCCCCAGTCTGGATTATAGAATTCGTGTTCCATAGAAGCCCGAACTATTTTGTTTACTACTTCAATGACAGAACCTTAAAAAAGTGTCGGTCATGCAACAGGTGACCATTGTTTGTTGAGTGAATCAATGAATGAATGAATGTATTTCCTTAGGTAATACAGTTCTTTTTGTTTGACTATTATGTGTCTGCTGAGGATCTGAAATGTTTTATCTCTAGCCTGGGACCTCTCTCATGATTCAAATGCTTGCTGTATATAACTATTTGGGATATTTTCTTTCAGCGTTACAGCCCTAACATGTTCAAAACTGAATTTATTATCTGCACCTGCTGAGTTACGCTCTTTCCTTTAAAATACTTTTATTGAATGGCTACATTCATTTGGTTTAATTTTTGCCAGTTGTACTCAAATCTAATTGAAACTATATTCCCCTTCACTCTTTCTACTTCATTCCTCTTTAGGCTCCTAGCATCTTTGGCATAAACCATTTCAATAGCTTCTTAATTATCTCCCTTTGCTACTTCGTATCCAATTTCTAGATTGGTATCACAATGATGTATATAAAATGCAAAGTGGACTGCAACACTCCCTTCCTAAAAACTCTTCAATATTCTCCATTTCTTACAGAATAAAGCCAAGACATTTAATGGTACATATAGTCTTTTATGACCTGGTCACTACCTGCTTCTCTAGTCCCTTTTCTAGCACATTACCATGGTAGGTTTTACCCTACCAGAGTGTGATGATACAATTCCATGACTTCACACCGGCCCCTGCGTAGCATGCCACCACCCTGAATGCCACCACCCCAGTCACTTAGCTTCCAGCGGCGAACTCCTCAGATCCCGGTGAGTCAGCTGAGGCATTGCATCCTTCACAAAGCCTCTGTGGAATCTTCAAATCAGCCTACCTGTGCCTCTATACTTCCGTATCTCTATTTACATTTTCCACTTTATAGCGCATGTTACGTTTCTCCGTGTCTGTCTCACCTAACAGTGACATTAGACCATGAGCTATCCAAGGGCAGGGACCATGACTTACTCACATTCATACTCCAAAGCTCCACAATATGCCTCTGGTCATAAAGACACTCAGAAGGCTTGAGAAACTGACTCACCTCCCAAAGTCCATCTGAGTCCCTAATCCTTTGCCCACCTGGACGGTAGCTGCAGGTTGTTCTTTCCACCATTGTGAAATAGGATTAAACCAAGCTCTTTCATGAAAAGCTTTGGTAAGGCAGGTAAGGAAGGTAGGACTAATGCCTTTCATGTGACCGCTGAACCCCTGGAAGTAAACCTTCCATAGGAAAGTCCACAAGTTCTTCTTTTCCCAGTTTGTTGTTTATAAATCTCACAAAGGCCTGATATAAAAGTCTTAGTACTAAAAAAATTTTTTAAATTAAAAAATTTAAATGAATAAATAAAGAAGTCTTCATGCTACCAAGATACACAAGTGGGGAAGAGAAACCAGTGTGGTTGCTTCCAATGTCTCTACCGGCTTTTCGATCTCTAATGGGTGCATTAGCCTGGCTTTCAGTGTATTCTTTATAAAGGCCTGTTGATGACTTCCCAGGGCTGTTACAGGTCTTTAGCAACAGTTTTTTGTTTACCACTAGTGTCAGACCTACTCTGAATGAACTCCTGGGAACCCCGTGAATGAAATCATTGATGTACCATACCAAAACCAAACACACTGGCTCCTGCCCTACTCACTTGGCTTAGTCTAGGAGAAATTCAACCTATGCCATGTCAGCTTTTAGATAAACATATCTTTCTCAGTTTACACTTTCAAAACTTTAGTCCGTATTCTAACAGAATTATTATTTAGGAGTTTCGGATGACTTTTTCTTTTTCTTTTCTTTTTTTCAAGGAACGTCAACCAAAACTATTTTTTTTAATTGAGAAATGTGAGCCTGTTGTGAGTATCTTCATCTTAAATGTACAGTCCCTTCTGTATGTTTTGTTTCTTTGTTTTTAAAAAAATTTTTTTAAGATTTTATTTATTTATTTGACAGACAGAGATCACAAGTAGGCAGAGCAGCAGGCAGAGAGGGAGGGGGGAAGCAGATTCCCTGCTGAGCAGAGAGCTCGATGCGGGGCTCTATCCCAGGACCCTGGGATCATGACCTGAGCAGAAGGCAGAGGCTTTAACCCACTGAGTCACCCAGGCTCCCTGTTACTTTGTTTTTAGTGCCTAACTTATGATAGCACTGTGCTAGGTGTTTTTCAGTGTTCTACCATTTAATTCTCAGAAGAATCCGATGAAATAATAATTATTATTCCTGCATTATCAGTAAAGACACTAAAGATCCGTATTCTGTATTCTCACAACTATGGAATAAACCGACGTCTGATTCATACCCAGCTTTGCTGTCTCCAAAACATGCCATTTCTATGATACTGTAGTGACTTTCTGAAGTACTTAAGCCTGACAAAAATCTTTCTTTTTACTCCTAGATTCTATCAGGCTCATTCTCCAGCCTATTTATTTAAACCTTCTCCTAAACCATTTCTCTATACCCCCTGGAACTACTTAAACCCTAGGATTATTTCTCAGGATTTAATCTGGACATTACATATTTTGGCAAAGAAGTCTCAGGATGTAGACAGAGAATTTTCTTTTTTTTTTAAGATTTTATTTATTTATTTGACAGACAGAGATCACAGTAGGCAGAGAGGCAGGCAGAGAGAGAGGGAGAAGCAGGCTCCCTGCTGAGCAGAGAGCCTGATGTGGGGCTCTATCCCAGGACCCTGGCAGAGGCTTTAACCCACTGAGGCACCCAGGTGCCCTGAGAATTTTCAATTGTAAGAACATATTTAGAGATAAGCTGGAATCACAATAAGTGGAAAAACAGTAAGACTGTAATGAGTTGACATGACTGGATGCTTTGAACTGTTAGAGCTGGGGCACCTGCGTGGCTCAGTGGGTTGAGCCTCTGCCTTCGGCTCAGGTCGTGATCTGAGAGTCCTGGGATTGAGCCCCACATCAGGCTCTCTGCTTGGTGGGGATCCTGCTTCCCCCTCTCTCTCTGCCTGCCTCTCTGCCTACCTGTAATCCCTCTCTGTCAAATAAATAAATAAAATCTTTAAAAAAATAAAAGAAAGAAAGAAATGTTAGAGCAATACGAAGCCAGCAAATGCTATATTGGTGGAACACATCACCCTCCAGAAATAGTGCGGGCCGACTTTATAAATGGGATCAGAAAGAATTTAAGTCAGTGAAACAATAATAAGTTGTGTATGACGACCTGTTTGGTGTGTATGACAGCTTGTGTTTTGTGAGTGTGACTGCAGGCAGACCCTCTACCCTGACAGTACCCTCATTGTTGCCTTAATGGAGATGTAATCCTGGGCTGAATAAACCATGAGCCTGTTCTAAAATGGAATCTCAGATATTATTTGAATGTTTATCCTGCTTTGGGTTTCCTCAATCACCTCTATTTTAAGAAATATAATTAGCCTAACTTTGACCCAGTGGGATAGTAATGGAAACACAGTGAAGGCATTCTTCCATTCCTTGGACAGTTATGTGCTGGATTCCTATTATAAGAAATGCACCTTGCCAAACAAAGAGAATCAAAAGGAACTAGTGCATAAAAATAAGCTAATAAATGTAAGAAGTGAGATCTATCAAATTATTAAGTATTTTTTCTCAAGTATATGTATTACCAAATATATGGTGAGCTAAGCAGTTTGTAAAAAAAACAAACCCAGGAACAGGAGGGTATTTGTCTCACAAATGATTTCTCAGTGCTATTCAAGACATTTAATATTATAACTGTGGTGTAAACTAAGATGACTTTAATACATTTTATGAAAAACTGGGTTCTTAATTAGAGAAATACATAGGAATTCAGAGGAATATTGCTGAAGTACCAATGAACAGGAAAAACTAATCTGTTGTAATGATACAGTGTCTAAAACATTTAAAATAGCCCACTTCAAATACTCTTGGGAAGACTCAAAATTATATTTTAAGGTGGCAACCCCTCTGGTATACTTTTTCTGTTTTTCTTCTAGTGCCTCTTTTCTTGGGGAGAGAAAGAATATGATATCTCAAGTAAAATTCTTTCCAAAAACTGGATAAATATGTAAAAAAAAATATTTCCCCAGCTCTTGGTTTCAGGGTCGGATTTTCTGTCCAGTGCATTATACAAATAATTCCCTTTACAGAAGGGAGATTTCCTGTTCAAATGTTGTTTCCAGGAACCCTACACATGAATGTTCCAGAGTTTATTAGTTTAAGACATGGTGAACTAATCCGCCATGTTTCGTTACAAGAAGCTCTACAAACTGGAGAGAATTCAGAAGACTGGTTTTTATTAAAACTCTTTGCTACTTAGAGAATGTTATCACCCCTTAACATCCTTGGCCTCCAATATACCGCATTCCTGAAGTCCAGAAACACCTGGAGCAGCGGGCACTTCCTGTTCTCCCTGTTCTGGGAAATGGTGAGGGACTGCCTGGAAAAGAGCAGAGAGGGAGGGGCTCCTGGCCACAGCACAGCTTGGTTAGCTGAGACGCAGCCACTAGGCCTGCAAGTTCCTAGACAAATAATCAGGAAATATTTAGACACATGAAATATTAAAAAGGCTCCGGCTGGGATTATAATAATGATGATTTTGATGTTTGCAATTAGCAAAACCTGAAGTGTGAAGGAGACATGCCAGCTGGCAAAGCAGCAGCAAAGAGACTGCTCATTCTCTTTCTCTCCTGACTCTTACTGACTTGAAGAGGAGGATGGGAGGGGAGGGGTTGGGCAAAGACCCCACAAGAAGACTTCCCTTATTTACTATTTCTGCCCCAAGCTTTCTACTCAGAACTTTGTGAATATTAAAACAATTAAATATACAAAGGGAGTTCACATTTTTTTAAGATTTTATTTATTTGGCAGAGAGAGAGAGAGAGAGAGATCACAAGTAGGCAAGCAGAGAGAGAGGGGGAAGCAGGCTCCCTGCTAAGCAGAGAGCCCAATGCTGGGCTCTATCCCAGGACCCTGAGATGATGACCTGAGCCCAAGGCAGAGGCTTAACCCACTGAGCCATCCAGGCACCCCAGGAGTTCACATTTTAAAATATCCCATGATTTTGATGATTTTTTTTAAAAATCCTTATTTTGAAATACATTTTTTTGCCCTCAACATTTATTTGTTTTATAACTTTGAGTTGAGAAGAACAGTCATAAAGTAATTACTCTTCTTTAAGATTTTATTTATTTATTTGGGAGAGAGTGAGAGAAAGAGAGTATGAGCAGGGTGAGGGGCAGAGGAAGAGGGAGAAGCAGACTCCCCGCTGAGCAGGGAGCCTGATGGGGGACTCCATCTCTGAATCTGGGACAATGACCCGACCCAAAGGCAGAGGCTTAACTGACAGGTGCCCCAAAATAAAGTGATAAAATTGCTATTTGAGTGGGGTTGCCTGGGTAGCTCAGTTGGTTAAATGACCGCCTTCAGCTCCAGTCATGATCCCAGAATCCCGATCAGTCCCGCATAGGACTCCCAGCTTCTTGGGGAGTCTGCTTCTCCCTTTAACCTTCTCCCCTCTCAAATAATTCATTTATAAACGTATTTGAAGAGAATGACTGGGTATATCAAGAATTAATATTGTTAACCATAGAGTGCACTGGGCTTCTTAAAGGCGCATATTGCTTTTAACTAACCTGGTGCGAGACCACCTTGAACAAAAGAAGAGAAAAATAGGCGATGGGAATCATCTTGGGAATGACAATAATGAACAATATCAGATTCCTACAATTTAGTGACTTCAATTTATCTATGCCTGAATTCCCTCCTGCATAAACTATAATGAGACTTACCTCTGACTTTGCTGGGTAGACTGGGAGAAAGTATCTTGGGGCTAAAAGGATGGTTCTAAGGGAAGATCAGATTGGGTAGGACCTATACTAGATAGCAGATCTAAGGGAAAGGGGTTGAGATGTCCAAGTGTTGGTGGCCCAGTGATCTCAAACTATTTTAGGCAACAGAACCATTCAGGAGCTAACATTTGTAGGCATAGTTGCTATGGGTGATAAAAACATTATCTTGTGCCTTTATGGGCCTGAGTCGTTTGGAGGAGGGGAATGGAAAACTCTGGAACAATGATGGACAATATGAAGTCCTATGTTTTAATATATCTGAATATAGCGGAAAGGTAGCTCTAAAATGCAAATATGGGATAATGGACTAGGTAACTAGGTACCCTTCCACCAAAAACAATTTATTTTAAAAGCCAGGCAAGCGGAAAAGGAGGGCAGGTGGGTTTGGAGAACTAGCAAAAGAGAGAGAAATGTCTAGAGTAAGATTTAGAAAAGATGAAAACCCAAAAAGAAAGTCCTGCATTGGGACTGTTTTTTGTCTGGGGGGCTTTTCCTACAAATTCTTGAAGCAATCAAGAGGCTAAGACATTTATTAATTTTTTGAGATCTTCAAAGAGCCAGAAAAGTAAATAGTGAAATCCAGAGCCCAGAAATGAAGTAGGAGGTAGATTTGGTAAAACACCCTTTGCCTCACTTTGGACCCTTAGAGAGCAGTACCCTAAGGACAAGGATGTACCATAAGTAAATCAGCTCTTGCAAGGTCTGCAATGGATTTAAATCATCTCAGTCCTTGAAATTGGATTAAGATGACCATATATGAATATATAAATTATAAATACCCATTCATACATGCATATATGCAGACACACATATACCTCTACACATACATAATTATACATGTATCATACATACAATCTACCCTTAGCCATGCCATAATATAATTGCTGAAAGTCAAAGAGAAAAATTTGAAATCAGAGAAGAAATTGCCCTGAGAGTAATCTCAAAGGGTAATACTAAATTTCACAGATAACTTCTCAGTGGAAAGAAAGGAATGCTACATATAAAGAATTATATCTTGCAAAAACTGAAAGAAAGTAACTGTCAACTTAGAATTCTACCTCCAGCAAAAATAGCCTTCAAAAATAAAGGTGGAATGATGATATTTTAAGCAACCAAACTGAAAAACTATGCCACCCAACAGATCTTACTCATACTAAAAGTCATTCTCTGGGCAGAGGGCAAAACATCCCCGATGGAAGCTCAAAAGTGCAGAAAGAAGTGACGAGAAACTGAAATATAAGAATGTGCATGAGTGCAAATATATACTGACTATATAACAATAATAATAACATCTTGTGAGATTTAGAATTAAAATTTGCAATAATAATCACCAGTAAGTCTTCAGTGTGGAATCAGGGAATGGAGTTGGAAGGAGGAAACCTGTATTAGAATGTTCTAATGTCTGCACTGCCCAAAAGGAGACAAAATTACCAGTTAAAGTTAGATTTGGATACCTAAAAAACGCATGTTGTGTACTGTATGCTGGTGAACCTCGAGAGTGACTGTGGCATGTGTAACTTCTAAACCAACAGAGGAAAAGAAGGAATAATATAAAGTGCTCAATCAATTCAAAGTAGTCCAGAAATGAAAGAAAGTGGGATTTGGAACAGGCAGAACCAATAGGAAATGCTGATGGAATTAGATGTATGAGTGATTATATAAATATAATGCAATCAAAAGGCAAAGAAGACTGGATTAAAAAATACAACTCTGCACTTTTTACAAAGGACAGATCATTTTTAAACACAGGAACACATTTAAAATATCTAGGTTAGCTTAAAAATAAAGGGATAAACCCTATGATCCAGTAATCACACTACTAGGTATTTACACAATAGATGCAAAAGTACAGACTCAAAGGGGTACATGCACCTCAGTGCCTGTAGCAACATTATCAACAATAGCCAAACTATGGAGTGAGCCCAAGTGTCCATGGACTGATAAATGGATAAAGAAGAGGTGATATATATATATAGATATAGATATAGATATCTATATCTATATATATATATCACAATGTGCTATTACTCAGTCATCAAAAAGACTGAAATCTTGCCATTTGCAATGATGTGGTTGGAGCCAAAGTGTATTATACTAAGTGAAATAAGTCAGTCAGAGAAAGACAATACCATATAATTTCACTCATATGTGGAATGTAAGAAACAAGACAGATGAACATATGGGAAGGGGAGGAAGAGAGAGAAAGAGAGAGAGGGAGAGAGAGAAACAAACCACATGAGACTTTTAATGATAGAGAACAAACTGAGGGTTGATGGAGGGACGTAGGTGGGAGATGGGCTAAATGGATGATAGGGATTAAGAATGGCATTTGTGATGAGCCCTGGGGTATTAAATGTAAGTGATGAATCACTAAATTCTACTTCTGATATCCAATATTACACCATATATTGACTAACTAGAATTTAAATAAAAATTTTTAAAAAAATAAATTCCTACCCAAATAAAAAAAAAGAAAGTGAAAGAATAGAGCTATCCCATACAAATACTTCCAAAAGAAAGCTGATTTAACATATTAATGTCAGACAAAGTAGTCTTTTAGGCAACAAGAGATAAAGAACGATGTTTTATAAATAAACATATATTTCAGTTTGGCCAGAAGATGTAACAATTCTAAATTTGCATTCATCTAATACATGGCCTGAGAATATGTAAGCAGAAACTGACAGAATTATTTTTTCAAAATGGTTAAATTCACAATCAAAATGGGAGATTTTAATACTACTCTCTTGATAGAATAAACTAGCTAAACATATCAGTAAGAATACAGAAAATTCGAATTACAAAATTAACCAAGTGAGCTGCTAGTATATACAGAATAGTGTATTTGAAAGCTGCAGAATATACATAATTTTAAGGACATGTAAACATATAAAGAAGTTGACAAATGATATAAATAAAATGTAGAAATTAATAACAAGATTAAATTAAGAAACATACTTCTAAATAGCCAATAGTTTAGAGAAGTAAGAACAGGAATTGAAAAACATTTTGGACTGAATGATAAGAAATCTACACATAAAATTAATGGATGCATTTATAGCCCTGTAAGGGGGAAATGTGTAGATTTTAATGTATAGTTTAGAAAAGGAAGATGATAAAAATCAAGGCTCTAAGCATCCATTTTATAGTGAGAAAAATGAGTTCCAGGTGGATTTCCTATCCATTGTGAAAGATAAAATAGTAATGTTTCTAGGAGGTAATATAAGAGAATATATTCATTACCCTGGTGTAGCCTAAGATTTTTAAATAAAACAAAACAAAAACACTCACCAGCTATAAGGGAAGTGATTGATAGCTTCAACTACATTGAAACCACCTTCTGTTTCTGAGCAATAACATAAATTCCCAGTGAGGAAAGATAATGCGATATAGAAGCAACAAAGGGCCTGTATATAAAATATATTTTTTAAAAAATCTTCAAACCAGCAAGAAAAAGAGAGACACTCAATAGAAAAATAGGCAAGTGATTTGTATAGACACTTCATAAAAGAGAATATACAAGTGGTTACCCAGGGAAATACAATTAAAACCACAATAAGAGACACCCGGGTGGCTCAGTCAGTTAAGTGTCTGCTTTTGGCTCAGGTCATGATCCCAAGGGTCCTGGGATCGAGCCCCAAATTGGGCTGCGTGCTCAGCCAGGAGTCTGCTTCTCCCTCTGTTTCTGCCCCTTCTCCCCACTTATGCTCTCTCTCTCTTGCTTGCTCTCTCTCTCTCAAATAAATAAATAAAATCTTTAAAAAACACACACACAATAAGACACCACCCCATACTGACCAAAATGAATACAATTAGAAAAGCTGATTATAGCAAATGTTGGCAAGGTTGTGGGGCCATGGGAGCTTTCAAGCAATACAGGTGCAAGCATAAATCATTATCTACTTGAGAAAACTGTTTGGCATTTTTGGCTAGTTGAAAATACGAATGCCAGGGGCGCCTGGGTGGCTCAGTGGGTTAAAGCCTCTGCCTTCGGCTTGGGTCATGATCCCAGGGTTCTGGGATCGAGCCCCGCATCGGGCTCTCTGCTCTGCGGGGAGCCTGCTTCCTCCTCTCTCTCTCTGCCTTCTTCTCTGCCTACTTGTGATCTCTGTCTGTCAAATAAATAAATAAAATCTTTAAAAAAAAATACGAATGCCCTCTAATCAAAAATCCCAGTCCAAGGTGTATGGTCAACAGATATTTACCATGAACAAGAGTGTTCACTGAAGCATTATTTCAATAATCAGAAACTGAAAACAGCCTAAATATCCATCAGTAGTAAATGAATAAATAAATATTGCATATTTATACAATGGAACATTAAATAGTAAGGAAAATGAATGAATTTCAGATGCATGCAGACACACGGGTGACTCCTAAACAAAATGTTAAATAAAGAAATGAGGTACACATACCAAAAACACACTGTTTGTTTCCACTTACATAAACCTTAATAAAGAAAACTGAACCATGGGATCAAAAGATGCATCTTTAAGTGGTAAAGCTATAAGGGGAGGATTGAAAATGGTCCCCATAAAAGTCAAGAAATGGTCATGTTTGGCAAAAAAAAGAGAGAGAGAGAGAGCAGATTATGGTTTAGAAGGGAAGACAGAGGGCCTCAGGGATTCTGGCAATATTCTATTTCTTTACCCAAGTGGTGGTCCCACATTGTTTGCCCTATAATGATTTTTACAACCTGATTTTTTTATATTTTCCATTTTGTGTTTTTTTCTATATGTGTGTATTATTTCATATTAAAAGGATACATGCATACATACCTCTATGCATACATACATAAAATCTGATTATGCAAGTGGATCTTCTTGCCTTCCGGTTAGACTTTAATCTACCTACCTCAGCTTCAAGGCCGCAAGTTTACCCCAGCCTACCCCACTAACCTTCTCTCTCTCCTACTCACACTTCACATCTACTGTTACAGTCACAGCAAACTAACTGCAGCTTCTAGAACATGGCAGCTCGCATCTTTCTGCCTTTTGCAAATACTGTTTTTTAATTTACAATTCCCTTCCCATCCTCACTCACCTGACTTTTCAAGAGTTGCTTCTTCCTAGAAGTTTTCTTCTCTTCCTGTAGTTGACATATGGGCCTGCAATTCCCCTGTGATGACATTTCTGTTCACTTCTTTGATTCCCACAGGACAGTGTTCTTTGAAAGCAGAGAATATTTCGTATGTACCTTTATGTCTTTTGAGCCTTAGTCAGTGCCTGACGTGTGGTAGATGGTCCAGAAATATTTACCAACGAATGAATAAAAACAACAGTGACAATTTTATCCTTTCTGTGTTACCCAGGTGGATAACAAAAAACTGGATTTAGAGAGCAAAGACATTGAAAGCATTGATGCCACCAAATTAAGCCGTTTCATTGAGATCAACAGCCTCCACTTGGTGACAGAGTACAACCCTGTGGTAAGCAATAGCACTTGTCTCCAGACCCTTAAGTTCCTGTGTCAGAGAGGGTACTTGTCTCCATAGTAGAGATCCCTTCCTCCAGGAGTTCTAATCCTTTGACCAGTAACTGCCATTATTGTCGTTTATGTTGCTATCCTTACTACTACCCTTTATGCTTGACAGAGTTGTCCTTATTCAAAAAAGAAAGAAATGGGGTTAAAAAAAAAACTTTAATACCCATCAGGGGATGCCTGGATGCCTCACTTGGTTGGATATCTGGGTCTTGGTTTCCACTGAGATTGTGATCTCATGGGTTATGGAATTGAGCCCCCCACATCTTGCTCTGAGTTCAGCATGGAGTCTGCTTGGGATTCTCTCTCCCTCCCACATGTGCTTTCTCTCTCTCTCTCTCTCTCTCTCTCAAATAGGCAAATAAGTCTTTTGGAAGGAAGGAAGGAAGGAAAGAAGGAAGGAAGGAAGAAAGGAAGGAAGGGAGGACGGACCCTTAAATACCCATCAGATGACTAGTAAGAAAGAGAGCCAGAATGCAAAGTCAAGATGACGGATTCAAAAACTTCTGAGTTTTCTGCCTGGGAGGGCTCACTAAAGGCAACTCATCCAAGCAATCCTCTAGACCACACTTTTCAACAAAATCGCAATCTCTGCTGAAGGTCCACGTTTTTCCAAAAACATTCAAGACCAATACGTTGGTAAAATACAATGAAAGTAAATTAATAGACAAAATATTAAAAAATAAGGCCCACTGATCACATATTTGGATGTCACAGCAATGTAACATTCTATAAAAACTTTTAAAACCTTCCCCTACCTGCTAGTGGACCAGTAACTGACAGCTCCCTCCCTGGTACCTCCTGCACAGGCCTAGACCCTCCCCGCAGTTGGCTTTCTCTCTAGGTTTGTCTTCTTCCGGTGTTGCGCGCTTCATGCAAACCGGGCGAAGGTGAGGATCCACCTGTTCTGATCATCTTCTGCTCTTCTAACGCTCTACAGCCTCTACAGGTACCTTCTATGCCCGGTCTTTTACATTCCCTGAGGCAGATAGTAAAGTGATAGAATATTAATTTCCACTGACTTCCTCAGTTCAGAAATGCTGTACGTTCTCTACTAACACGACTTGAGAATGCACATCTTGAGTTTTAGAACTCCCAAAGCCATTTCACACCCATCTTCTCATTTAATCTTCACGTTGCCATTTTGAGGTGGGAGAGAGAAAGCGATTATGCCCGTTTTATAGAGGAGCACATTTAAGATCCAAGTGACGTGTCTGGGATCCCATAGTAAGCAGGAAAGGCACTGTGGAAGGCAGGAAGTTTAGCTGACACATTAGTTTCTATTGTCTATTTCCATTTTCCAGAAGAAGAAAACGGGGTTCAGAAAAGTGGCCTAACCTCCTCAGGGCCGTATGACTAGCTCTTCAAACTTCAGACACAGCCCTTTGCACCTGTCCCTGCTTTTTTTTATGACTCGTTTGTCTGACTGAATCCTGTGGTTTTTCCTTTGCCCCACACAGCCTTCAATAGTAAACACCCCTTTTCCTGTTGACTAAATTCCTGTCCACCTCCCACACCACATTTGTCTTCATGGAGTGGTGACTCCATTTCCACTTTTGCTAAGATTCTAAACACATGCACCCCAGGAGTGTTGGCAGCAATAATCAAACTGTCATTTGTCTCCTAGACTGTCATCTTTCTCATGATTATGTCTGTAGAGGTCAGAGTTCCTGGGTTTCTGGCCCCAGGGTCCTGGAGTTCTGCACACAAATGAAGGTAGGGGCGAGGACTGGCCTTCCTGAGCTCTTAGGACTGGGCTGTCTTGTCTCTTACAAAATACTGACACTGTTTTTAAAATCCACATTAGTAGTGAAGGCAAATCACATCAAGAAGAAATTAGGTAAGAATTTCTTTAGGGAAGCAAGTCCAACTTTTACTGTGACTTTTTCATTTCCCAAAAATGATATTTTTCTCATTTGGATACCTGCCCCCACTACTATAGCTATTTCTTACCGGCTGATGATGCAGAGGTTTGCACAGTGACAACGACGGGGCAGAATTCATGACTGTGTATTAAGCTGGCTCTATGCTATTTTTTTAAAGATTATTTATAAATTTGGTTGGAGGGGGTGGGGCAGGGGCAGAGAGAGAGAGAGAGAAAGAGTCTTAAGCAGACACTGCACTAAGCATGGAGCCCAATGCAGGGCTTGATCTCACAATCCTGAGATCACAATGTGAGTTAAAACAAAGAGTCAAAAACTCAACTGACTGAGTCCCCCAGGTACCCCCACCCCCAGCTGTATACTTTGAATGCATACACTCAATACTTGGTTTCAGGGTGAAAAATTAGACTGTGTCTATTAAGATTAAATTACTCACTTCTGATTAAAAATTCAATTTAACTTAATTTAAAAATTTAAAATTAAAAAAAATTTTTAATTAAATTAAATTAAATTAAAATTAAATGTCTTCTGCTAAGACAGCTGTACCTTTTGACTCCTTAGCTTTGATTTCTTGAATTCCCAAAAATATCCTCCATCTTTGCCATGGGAGGACAGATGCATACCTTACATTTTAGTAGCAGGACTTAGTAAAACAAGAGATGGCTGTTTAACATCCAGTCTCCCAAATTTAAAATCTAAGAACTGGCTTTGAACTCCAGGAGAAACTTTTGGGAAAGAACTCATTGAACTCTCCTTGCCTACAGGTTGGTCAGTAGAGCTGGATCACTACAGAGCAGCGTGTAGCTTCCAGAAGCCTACCTAGCTGCTGCCTTTCCCATCATTCTGGAACTCTGCCTTGACAGTTCATTAATCTTCTGCACTCTCCCTCTTCCCGTACACATGCCAGTTTTACAGCAGCACTTTCTGCATTTAGGAGGGAGAAGTGGGGAGGGATGGGATTTGTTTAAAACAGAGACACATGGAACAAGCCAGTGCCATTGTTTCACACTCTCTCCTCTCCTCATCCTGGCGCACAGCTGTCCTGCTCCCCTTCATCACCAACAACTTCACTGGAAATCACCCTTTCTCATCAGCAAATAAAGGGCCAATGCTTCCAGTCTCCTGAAAGGCTAATCTTTTTGCCAAGGTTTGAGGTAGACGGCTTCCAGCGGAGTCGGTTTAGATGGGGTGTTGCAGTGAGCTATATGCATAAGGCATATCCTGATGGTCAAGAGCCTGGACTCTGGAGCCAGACTGCCTGGTGTGACTCCCAGTCTGCCACTTATGTGACTGGGAGAGATTGTGCCTCAATTTCCTCATTGATAAACCTGAAACTTTGAGGATTCCATTAGTTATATATAAAGACCCAGAAACAGTGCCCAGCACTTGATAAGCATTCAAAGGTGTATGTGACTGCTCTTGGAACAGGAAGAGGGACTGATAAAAGTAACCAAAGTGTGACATGGTGTATTCATTGTCCATTGATATATAACAGATTGCCTCCAATGTATCAGCTTAGAACGTAAAAATTGATTCTCTCCCACAGTTTCCGTTGGTTAGCAATTTGGGAGTGGCTAGGTTAGGGGCTTCTGATCTCGAGGCTCCTGTCATCCTGGGTCAGAGAGGCAGTCATCTGCAGGTTTGACAGGAGCTAAGCTATCTGCTTCTGGAGGCTGGTAAGTTAGAGCTGGCTGTCAGTGGGAGGTCTTAGCATTGTGCTGTCTGGGTCTCTTCGCAAGACTGCTTGATTTCTCACACTGGGACTGGCTTTCCCCAGAGTGAGTTACAGAAGAGAGAATAAGCAGAATAAGGCGGAAGCCCCTATATCACATATGACTTAACCTTGGAAGTCACGCTCCATCGTTTCTGCAATATCCCTATGGTTATTCCGCTCAGCCTTATCCAGCGTGAGGAGTAGGGAGCTACACAGTGGCATGAGAGCCAGAGGCTGAGACCTTCTGATGGCCAAGTTGGAGGCCAGTTACCATTTGTGTTATGGGTGGACAGCTCTCATTCATATTTCTGCCTACTTATTTACTGGGTTGCTACTAATGTGTGTTTTTTTTTCTCTTTGTCTCTTTCATTCTACTATAATACACCTCAATTTGCCAGACAGCAATTGGTCTATTTAATAGCATGATCCAGATTCATCTTCTACTGATGATGAACAAGGCCTCCCCAGAGTATGAAGAAAGTCTGCACAGATACCAGAAGGCAGCCAAGCTCTTCCAGGGAAAGGTAAGTCTGAGATGGGAGATACCCTTCTAAGTACTCAGTACCAGGACAGAGGACACTGAAAAGGGGGAGATGGGTCCAGGGAGATTAGGTAAATGAGGAAAGTGAGTATTCTTAAGAGATAACAAAGTAAGAATGGGGACATAAAGAATCACACTACTCTGATGTAAAATTAAGGGTCTATTTTATACTTTTAAAGACCTATATAACCATATTTTCCCTTGGTGGGAAGTCTACATTTTTTTCCTGCATTGAGAAGTGGAGAGAAAAATAGAGATCCATAGAGGCTGAAAATAAAAATCCCCTATTGGTCACAATGTATTTATTCTTTGCCACAACCTCTTAAAGTTTTAGACTCAGGACTTATTTCTCATGTAAAGCACCTATCACGTACCCAGTGTCTACTAGATATCAAATAAATATTTAGTTCTGCTCCTTCTCTACCTTGTGCAGCTCTATTTGGTATCACTGAAATAATAAATCTTCAACCGCCTCAAAGCCACTTCATTAAACTGGAACTTTTCAATGTTGACAAGTGTCTGGTAGTAACATAAGCTGGCTTTCAGGTGACTGTTTCTCTAACACTGGAAGTTTTCAGTGTTTCTGAATGTAAATGATCCTCTAACAACATTCTAAAGGTTTCTATTTTGGGTAGAAGGTTTGATTTAATTATGTTAAATAGTTGACATTTACCAGGCATTTATCAAATGCTAAAAACTGTGCTGGACATATTAAATGGATCCTCTCCTTTAATTTCCCCCAACAAAAGCCTGTTTTGCCAGTGAGAATACTGAGTCTCAGAGAGGCTGAGTAACGTGCTAAAGTCACATAGCTAGAGAGTCCCAGAAGTGAAATTTAAAATGTATTATCTGCTTCTAACCATTAGTCTATACTTGCATATTTAGCTAATCACTAAAGCTGTTTCCAATTCTGTGTTCTTAAAATTAAATAAACCTGATCAAAGGGATAAAACACCAAAGCAGAGAAACTCATTAAAGAAGAAGAAACTCGTTAAATTATAGGGCACAGACCACACGTTCAGTCAGTGTAAACAGCAACAATTATGAGGTGTCTCTTTCTCCTCTGGACCTCAGATAGATTTTTTTTCCCCCTTTCAAACCTCTCCAACTGCAGATTCTTTTTATTCTGGTGGACAGTGGTGTGAAGGCCAATGGGAAGGTGATCAAATTTTTCAAACTAAAGGAGTCTCAACTGCCAGCTTTGGCAATTTACCAGACTCTGGATGAGGAGTGGGATACACTGGCCATTACAGAACTTTCTGTGGAGCGTGTGCAAAATTTTTGTGATGGATTCCTCAAAGGGAAACGGCTGGTAAGTGGAGACTTCAGGTACAGCAAGCTGAGTTTTCCTCTCTGTGTCCTCTTATTTCCTGTTAAGTGTAAAAAGTCCTTGAGCTTTACTGGTTTTGATTAAGAACAACAGTACATGGGGATATATGGCGGAGAGGATCGGGATGCTTGCCAGGGTAGAGTCATGAGAACAGAGCTACACATGCGTCTTTAAAAACATCTCGCATATTTGAAGGAGCTAAATTTGGGGTTTTACCATTCTGTTGACATTATTAATGGGAAACAACCCAAATTCCTATAATACTAGAGTTCATGAGATAAAAATTAAGGATGGATTTAGGACTTCCAGGAGTCATTAAATAGCTCAGTTTGCTAATCTTGGAGCTCAAAACCAAGTGTGGGTTCCAAATCTAAGTAACAGTGTCATCATGTTTTTCAGAGAGAAAATCATGCATCAGAAGAAAAGACTCCAAAGATGGAACTCTGATCTCTCCCTGATACTTCTGCATACTACCAAGTATTTACATGAAATTAAAAAAAGGCAACTCGAACCTCAGAGACACGAAACGACAGGATCGCCAAGCCTTATACACACACATATGCACCCACACACAGCTCTCTGGTTTTTTTTTTTTCCTTAAAATCTCATTTATCTCCTTATCCTTTCTTTTAAATTGTCTACACTCTCTCACTACCCATCCAGTCTTCTTCTACGCATTCACACTGTGTAGTCCCATACGCCGCAGCACACACCACTGAATGGCACCTTTAACAGAACTCCTGTGATACCTCTTTGAAGGGGAGACATTTCTGGAGAAGGTTTTTCTGATTTGTCGCTTTCTATTGAATCTGCACACTGCACAGGTCTTACACGCACCATAGATTCTGTCCTTTTATGGTTAGTAACGGGTAGAAAACTCTCTTCCTAAGCACATGTCCCTTTCTAACTCAGGGCCAGGAACAAAAGGACGGTTTTAAACACCTTTCTGGAATTGTCTTTTTGCCAGAGTCAAATGATGTTTCCAAGTCTCCAAACTCAGCAGAAACAGGCTATGTAAAAAAAAATCCTATGCTTGTTTAGCGTTCCCAACTCCCATGTAAATCAACGATCTCCCAGTAAATAAAAAGCAATAATGTTATAGGAGAAGACTGGCATCTCTTTGTAGGCTGAACCTTTGGTAAATACCCAGCTGCCCAATAAGTAGTAGGTACCTCCCCCTTTGGTGCCCACTGTTTAGTGTCTGGCCACAAGCCACTAATGTGTTATTATTGTTAACTCCGTGGGTGGGATGGGAGGTGGGTAGAGACCATCCTGCGTGAGGATTGGTATAAATGTGGCGAAAGAACTGGGAATCAACTTAGGTCAAATGTTGGGGACTAGGTAAGGAGGGGGCCACTTGGTGCTGGGGCCGGCTGGGGCTAAGGCTGGATTATTGCAGGTGGGGTGTGCAGGGCAGCCTATGTGAAGGAGAGGGAGAGTCTGGCCAGCGTCTCTGGCCCCCAGGCTATTACTGTCAACACACAGACACTACATTGTTCCCAGGAGGCCCTTGGCTCCGAAGGAAAGAGCCTAAGTGCTGAAGATCTGAAAAAAAAACAGTGTATACCTAAGGATTGGTCCAAGGGACGAACAGGGAGTGAAAGACTTAGTTGTTTCTTTCTGCGGGAAAAACTCCACAGCCTCTGAGCTGGGAGTGGGCAGCTGGCAGAGGCTGTAAAGCAGGAGTGCATGGCATACCTCTCAGCAACATGAGACTGGTGCTCTGTGGGGAGGCCATCCAGCCCATCCTCTGGGCTGCAGGAAACCACCCAGTCTCTCACTGGAGGTTACAAAATAGTCCTAGGGTAGGCACATCCCAGAAGCCTCACTTTGATCCTGAGAACCAGTACTCTTGACATTTACAGTCAGGAAATTCTTCCTGATACCCAGCGGAGGTCCTCTGGCCACACAGACTCGTTTCTTCTCACCTGTTGCCCATGGAAATTGGTAACAGCGGCCAATCACCGCCATCTCCAAGTGACACCTCCAATGCTTGCTGGTTGCCCTTGACCTCCTGATCCGTCTTCTTTTCTCCATACCGCCAGCCCAGCTCGGCAGCCAGCTTATTTCCAAGTCACTTGATTAACTTTCTTATTTTTCTCTCTTCCCTCTTTCTCAACTTTCCTTTTTCCTTCTTATTTTTTTGTTTAAAATGGAGGATTCTAAACCACTATAGGAATTTAGTAAATGTTAAAAGACAGATTCCCAGGAGCTATATTTTGTTCCACATTGGGTTGATTTGTCAAATATTTTCTTTAAAGTATTTCCCCCAATAACCATAGTCAACACTGACCATGTCTTTATAGGGCATTTTGCTGCTTGATGACATGTGATAGCAACTTTATTACATACTGCCTTTTTTGTTTGTTTATTTTTATCTTTACTGTATTGAATTGAATTGTTCCTTCAGTCTGTGGGTCCCCAAAACTACAGGTAAGTTTTCCCTGTCTTCTTCACAGCTAATCTGTTCTTTGTAACTCTGATGACTCATGACCAAAGAATGGAATTCTTACAGAAAGAAGAGATTTCTAAAGTTTCTCATTCATTCACTGAATATCAGATTTAGGATTGTAAAGTGCTTCAATTTCTAGATCTTCTCTATCTTCGAGAAATATCTTTCCTAAGATTCTACCTTCATTTCTCCAAGGCCATGTTATTGTTGAAATACCTAGGTATATCTTAACTACTTTTCACTATGGACTCATTTTTTTTTAAAGATTTTATTTATTTATTTGACAGAGATCACAAGTAGGCAGAGTGGCAGGCACAGAGAGAGAGGAAAGGAAGCAGACTCCCTACTGAGCAGAGAGACCAATGCAGGGCTCGATCCCAGGACCCTGGGACCATGACCTGAACTGAAGGCAGAGGCTTTAACACATTGAGCCACCCAGGCACCCCTGGACTCATTTTTTAAAGTATGAAGAAATTACCATACTTTAAAGTGTGAAGGAAGCCATGATGTTCTACAACAGAACTTTGTAAAAGATACTAAAGGATTTGGAAGACTTTGATAGAAGGCATAGAAACAGGGCACGATTCAGAGAAATCACAGGAAAATTGATGTTTGAGTCTCATCTCTTCCGTATGTGGTTTTGTGACCTTGGAAAACACTGTCTTTGAATTTCAGTTCATTGAGGATAATAAAATGACAGGATTTTTTTAAGATCCAAAGTTGATAATACATATGAAATAAAGTCTGTCATTACCTTTATTTTTTTAACTTAATACTACACTGCCTTCTATGGGTAGTAGCTATTTCTACTAGCTACTAGTATCAGAATATCAGAACTTCTAGAAAAAGAGAGGCTTCCCTCAGTAGAGGCCTCACACTTGGGATTAGAGAAGTATTTGATACAACCATTTTAATGTTTAATTAATTTATTTAAATTTAACTAATATTTATTTAATAAATAAGTTTACTTATTTAGTAATGATATAACTAATTTAATTTAATTAGGTTTTATTATTACTCATACATGGTGAGGCAACAGATCAGGAGGCAATTGACATTGAAAAGAGAGTTTGTTACAGTTTCCAAGAGGAAAGATCGTGTCATATTTTGGGGAACCACCAGGATTTGTCAGGAGGCAGAAGGAGCAAAGGGAAAATATAAATGAGAGCCTTTATTGTGCTTTCTGTGGGAAGGAACAGGCAAGACCAGGTAAGCAGGCTTAAGATTGGCTGCTTTGAATAATATCAGCAGGCTCTGGGGCAGAGGAGCTGTTCTTAGTTGCCTGGACCCTGGCCCTGGGGTGTTTAGAGCAGGTGCATAGTGGCTCAGAATGTGAAAGCCCAGTGAGAACTTAGTTAAAGAAGGTTTTGGGGATATGAGCTCTGGCTTGGTTGGAATTGGCCAGCCTTAGGAGGAGAAATCTCTCCAGGGTCTACAAGGCCCCAGATGTCAAGGCATCAGAAACACAAGTTAACAAACACCCATCTGTCAGGGGACTCCTCTCCCAACTCACCTATTTTGGTCCTGCTACAAAGGAAGGCATGCTGTTTTCTTCAGGCTCCTGTTAATTCACGTTTTCCTTGGGTGGGTGGAGGCTAGGTGGGTACTAAGTGGTATATTATGAGGGAACAGTTTATTGATTCGTATTCTCATCCATTTATTTAAATACTTACTAATCAATTATAAGTGTGCCAAACAAGATTGCCTCCTAAATGAGCAAAGTTAGCCTTGGATGAAGATGCTGTAGAAGGGGGCATTTCAGTTACCATCAGACTGACCGTGACCCACAACAGAACAGGGAAACAACAGAACAGGGAAAGCTGGATGAAGAAGAGAGTCACTGTGGAGAGGGATGGACAGGATGCTGGAAACAAACCACAGAGGTCTCAGAGTTAGGGGAAGAGTAGCCACAGGGAAAATAGTTGACTGCAAAGGGAAAGAGGCTCATCATGGACAAACTATTTCACAATGACTTTGGAACCAGCCCTATTTATTTTACCTTTCTGAAAATATCTGGTTTTCTAAGCAAAGAAAAATAAAACAGGGAGTGGGATGTATCAGAACCATGCCCCTAATTACAGCACTTTTACATTTCGAGAGAAGAGAAAAAAGTGGAAGTAAAAACCTCTTTTTAGTTTGAACCTTTGGAGAACAGGTATTCTAGAAATCAAAAAACAAACGAATTTTAAAGTCCTACTCATATAAGTTTGAAAGAGAGTGCCCCTCTTTCAAATTATTTCCACAAGAGGCCAGTGTGTCCTTCTTTTCTTTCCATTCTGTCATTGCTCCCATGGGTTTGACAATGAAATGTCTGAATTACATTGGGAGTAAAGGTAAGGAGGGGAGAGTGAGGACAAGGGGTTAGGTTACTTCTACAGGTTATGAAAAGTGTAAAATCCAGACATTAATGCTTCATTGTCCAGATAGTTTCACTAGTCTTTTTTTTAATTGAAGAATAATTGATATACAATAATATTGTTTCAGTCTCAGGCATACAACATCATGATTTGATATTTATATACATTATAAAATGGTGACCACAATAATTCTACATATCATCTGTCACCATACAGAGTTATTACAATATTATTAACTATATTCCCTATGTTGTACCTTACATCCCATGTCTTATTCATTTTCTAACTGGAAGATTATGCCTCGTAATCCCCTTCACCTATCTTGTCCATCCTTCCCATCTACTCCATCTTTTAGATTTAGAGAAATGAAATTGGATGGTATTTGTTTCTCTCTGCCTGACATATTTCACTTACCCAATACCCATTAAGTCTATCCATGCTATTGTAAGTTGCAAGATTTCATTCTTTTTTAATGTCTGAGTAATATTCTATTATATATACCATGTTTTCTTTACCCATTCATCTATCCATGGACAACTGAGCTGCTTCCATATCTTGGCTTCTGCAAATAACATTGCAGTGAATATAGGGGTGCATATGTCTTTTCAAATAAGCGCTCTTATTTTCTTCAGATTAATACCTAGAAGTAGAATAGCTAGATTGTAGGGTAACTCTATTTTTAATTTTCTGAGGAACCACCATACTATTTTCCATAGTGGCTACACCAACTTACATTCCCAACAATGCACGAAGGTCCCCTTTTCTCCA